TTATATTAATAAAATAATTATATACTTAATAATGCTTTTATAAAAAGAAAGATATTAAGTATTTATTAAAAATTGAATAATATAATTAACAAAAAATCATGATAAACATTATAAATGAACAACAACAAGCAAATAAAACATTAATTGAAGAAATTGAAACATTAAAAAAACAACTAGCCGATAAAGAAGAAAATCCCAAAGTGAGAATCCACAACATAGTTGAAAATGTTAAAGAAACTGAAAGCCCAGAAATTGCTGGAACTTTAATGACCTTAGAAAAACACTTTTTACCCCAAGATGAATTAACCCTTGAAAACTTTGTTAAGGGTTGCACTGAATGAACATTACTTAATTGCAATAATTTTAGTTATGTTTCTGGAAAAAATGGTGAACTAAAAGAAAAGGTTTCTGAATTAGAACCAAAGGTTATAGAATTAGAAACTAAGCAAAAGGAATTGAAATTGAGAGTAGAGGAGTTGGAACAAGCATTAGAGTTAGAGGAGGAAACATCTGAATGTCACTTAGAGGCTCTCGAAGTGGCTAGACAGTGGAGAGTAAGGCAAAGCAAAGAAAAAGATGACAATTTGGAAAAGGCTTCTAGGCAAATAGAACTTTTGGAAAGAACTGTGGCACGACAGAATTATGTAGCAGATAAGCAACTCCAAGAATTACCAGAACTACCAGCTTTACCAAGAAAAGAAAACAAATTTAAACTCTTATCTAACAAAGTAAAGAACAGAATTAAACAAGTAAGAGAAATAACCAAAGAAAAGTTCAACGCCTACATTTTGCAAAAGGATAAGTAGCATGAAATTAGAATACCAAGTTAATGACTTAAGGAGAGGAGACAAATGGCATTGTAATTTCTGCTCTTTTGAAAGAGAAAGGAGTTTAACTGCTACTTACAAAATATTATCTTACAATATAAGCAATAATGATTATAACGATATTGCTTATATCTGTGTAGAGTGTAAAAAAGATTTTGATAATGATGCTCTACCACATTGTAATGATTGTGGTCGAGCTATGAGAAATAGGATAGATTGTTTCTGTGATTTAAGAAAAGAGGAACCAGTTAAAACTCCAACAATAACAGAAATAATGGCACAGAGTTATGTTGGTAGATTGGAACAACAAAATAAAGACTTAAAACAGCAACTAGCCACTTCCAAGGAGGAAATTGGTTCTCACTTGGAAGCCTTAGAAGTTTCAAAGGATTGGCATAACAAACAAAGACAAGAATTATTAGATCAAATTAAGCAGTTAGAAGAAGAGAATGATAATCACAAAGAGGAAATCAAAAGGTTAAAGACTCAGTTAGAACAGTTAACTTCTCAACAAGTTGCTCAAATTGAAGTTAAAGAGACTAAAAGATGATCTTGATTGAAAATAAAAGGTAATTAAAAATTAACAAAGTTGAAAAAAAAGTAATTATTTGTTTTATCAAGTTATTCTGCCAGTTTTCTTTTTTTTCTTGATTCTTTACTAGAATTCTCTAATACTCTTTTGAAAAAGCTCTTTCCTCTTGGTAAATTTCATAGGTAATCTTTTCTTTTCTTAGATAAACTTCCAGTGTCTGAGTATCATTTATTTTGAAAACATAAGGAGCAATTTTCTCACCTTGTTCTTTCTTCAAAATACTTCTAATGATGCTGTAATTCTTGGGTTCCATGGTAGACCTAATGTAAATTAGCTTCATATTAACTATTTTTATATAGGGGCAATTCTATATATCACTTAAATAATAAATAGAATAATCACATTACAAATGACTAAATTTTGATCCCTGAAATCTTTGGTAATACCAATGTTCACTTTGTCTGGTTTTGTTGCAGCATGCCCCATATAATAATTTTATTAGTTTAATTAGTTAATGCTATTTTTTTGTTTATTGTGAATAATAAATTTTAAGATTCCAGAGCAAATACTTGTGTTAAAATAGAAGAATAAAATATGTTATTTATATCATAATATAATAAATAGTTACATATAACTATAAAAATAATAAATTTAATTATTTGTTAATAGTAAATCTAATAGTAATAACATGCAATAATAACAATAATCATGATAACAAGTTATGATTATATACAGCCTACTTTGTACAATATTAGTTATTCTTTAAATGTATTAATTAGTAAATATAATATTATTATTACCTGATATTTCATTATATATCCATTTATGAATATGCTTTTATCATTTGCAACAATGCTTTGGTATTTTCCTCATCGTCATCATCATCATCATCATCATCATCTTCTTCTTCTTCTTCTTCATCTTCTTCATCTTCTTCTTCTTCTTCTTCTTCTTTATCATTATGATCTTTTAGGGAAGAAATAGATTTAATTAAAATGACATAATTGAAAATCAACCAAAAAAATTGGCAAAACATATAATAATATATACTTCACTTATTTCTTGATTTATATGATAATTATTAATATTATTTACTAATATTGCTTCTTCTATCTCTTCCTCTTCCTCTTCCTCTTCCTCTTCCTCTTCCTCTTCCCCTTCCTCTTCTTCTACATCTTCTTCCTGATCCTGATCTTGATAATTGTCATCATCACTATTTTCACCCATATTTTCAAAAAAAGTTAAAGCATTTGCTATTTTATTATCTAACTTATCAGCTTCTACTACTGGTGGTGATGTTGATAAAAACTCATCATTTTCATCATTATCTTCACTCATATTTTCAAAAAAAGATAATGCATTCACTATTTTATTATCTAACTTATTAGCAACCACTACTACTGGTGGTGATGTTGATAAATAACTATCATCATCATCATCATCATCATTATCATCATCATCATCATCATCATCATCATTGTTGTTGTTGTTGTTGTTATTGTTGTTAATTAAATTTGATGTGAAATTTTCATTTATTTGAGAATAATCCTAAAATAATTTTAATTTTAATTATTAAAACCTTGTAATATATAATATATAAAAATATGAGCATGATACCTCAAAAGCAGTTTTAATATCTTCACCCAGCATTGATAAAAGAACTGCTTCTTCGCTTTGAAGTTTCTTTTTTTGTTCTTCAAATTCTTTTAACATATCTAATAGAGTTTTCATTTCTTTATGAAGCTGATTTTCAATATTTACAAATAGATTTCTTTTTTGTTTATAAGAATTATTATTTCTACTAACGAATGATGTTCTTCTAGTGGGCGGCATTGTTAAAACGATTTAAAATTTTATAAAACTTGTCCCGAAAACTATATAGATAAATAATAATAGGTCCGCAGCTGGTCAAATCCACCACAGGGACAATGATTTGCATAATCAAGTAAAAATTGCCGAATAATGCATAATACAAATTGCCGCATACCATAAAGCCTGGAAAGACAGCACCTGCGACATTTCCTTTTTTAGTAATTTTTACGGTTAGTCACGCACAATTTATTATATTAATCATAGAAAATTGTTATTTGTCACGGGAGCTATCTTTCCAGACTTTATGGTAATTGATAATTATCGTGTGATCAACAACATCAAATATTTATAAAAAAATTGTATATTAATGTGAATCTTTGAAAGCTGATTAGTATATTCTTTCTGTTTATGTAATTATTTATGAAGACTAATTAAAAATGTGTTAATGAGTAGTTTTTATGGCGACTTTTTGGGTTTAAATTTAATCTACAACCCTATGCAAAGTTTGCACACTTAAAACATACTTATTATACCACTAAAACACACTCAAGTATAATTTAATTAATGTTGAGCACGGAATGAGTATGTTTTAAACATATTTCAAGTGTAATTTAAGCACATTTTGACTATTATGGGGAGACACTTAAAAACATTCTTGTTTTATTTATTTATCTTATTTATTTGTATGGCGTGGGAGTCAAAAATAATATTAATAATTTTTCAATAATATTTATTTTTATATGCTTTTATGTTCTAAACAATTTAACACTTTCTTTTTCCAAAGGAAGAATGACTTTACATCTATCAAATAAAATAAAATAAAATAATTATTATACATTTTGTCATTAGTGAAAAGGTCTCTTCTTTTTGGTCTATTCTGTGTATTTGCAATGTTGTAAATTGTTTTCAAGTTTCCCGTGATCTATAAATCACTATTTCACAATGGTTAGAATGCTGCTTTAAACTTGATTTCCTGTGAATCGTGCTTGAAACTCAAAATTGTGTTTATCACAGGAAATACTGCTTAGAACTCGAAATCATGCTTCAAAATAATGTATAATTAATATGTTGTATGTGAAATCAAAATTTATGTGAATTTTGAAATTCACATACGTGAAATTTAAATTAGCCAATCAATGAATGGATTTCCAAGCCCCAACCCATTAAAAATATCATTTCAAATTCACATACAACATATATAAAGCAATCGAATTTTTATGCACCAAAAAATTAACTTAATCCAAATTACAAACCAAAAGCCATTTGCTGGCATTCTGATTCATATTAAAAATCTATTTCGTTGCCATTAACTATAAATGCTCTCCAACTCAAATAGTTAGTGATATGTGTGTAAGCTTATTACAATGTTTTCCAAAAAAAAAATTTCAGCAAAAGAATCTACAAAGTGAACATAAAATTATATATAGAGATAAGTGTATATGAAAATTAATAATAAATATAATTCTAATGAATATCAAAAAGCCATTGATTTTTTGAAAAAAAGGTTGTGATTGTGGGATGCTCTTCAAGAATTCCCAAGGAAGAATTTGCAGAATTAAGGGAATCTTTTCAAGCTCTTACCAAATTTGAACAAGATATATTTTTAATGGCCCAACTTAAAGCAATGGATGGTGGATCAACAAGCATTAGCAGACGCCTTGAAAAGAAAACCCAGATCTAATAAAAGAACTTTTACCATTGGGATCACAATACACCCCTTTGTCAAGAAACTTATCTTAATATGTTAGAATTGGCAGAACTTATTTTGAAAATATTAGAAATCATCTGATAAATAACGGTCTTCTGCCAAGAAATTCATGGTAATATTAAAAGAATGCCTCAATAAAATGGTGATTGATAAAAATGTTGCAGAAGTATATAGGGATCCTGATTTCCATTACCTAATAAGTATTGTACAACAAGGAGCAGGAAACAAGAACCGACCGGAACACCCTATTATATGTAGGTAGATCACTTCATTGTGATCATTATATATATGGAAAATTTTATGCAGGTTTTAATGAATTTAGTAACTGTTAATTTGTGCATTCATTCCAAAGGTGTCATTTTTAAATGAATGAGAAATTTTTGGTCAACTATAATTTTTTTCTTTAATTATGGAGAGATATAAAAGGGTAGATTCGACTTTGAGCAATTCAAAAACTTTACCAGAAAACATAATATTTTTTGATAATAATATTGCTTGTAGTAGCAGTAGCAGTAATAGTAATGGTAATAATAATAATAACAATAATAACAACAGAAATTCTATTAATAACCCTGATTTGGAACAAGAAATGATAGATGAATTAGAAAAAAATGTTGTTGAATTGGCTGAAACACAAGAGCAGATTAATCAAATTCGTTTACCACGAGAAATTATCAGGTTAAATGATGTTAGAATTCTAGAAGAGGATCGTGAGCCTGACAATTTTCCAAGTGATGCTACGTCCGACTTTTCTATGGACGAGAGTGAAAATGAACTTCAATCTATGACTAATGAAAATAATAATAATAACAAAGACGAGATCATTAATAACAAAGATTATGTTAAAACTTGGAAGTCTTATACGTCAGATTCGCCTAAGGAAATTGATATAGACATTAAATCAGATGACACTAATTTAACCGAGTATTCCGATGGTTATAATAGCAGAGCACCTTACTTTCCAAAAAAAAAAGTTATTGACTCATTCGTTGACAGTTTTAGTTTAAATGAAAATTTAGGTGATAAATCAGTTGAAAGTGCTAAAACCGGAAGTTCTCATCAACGTGAGTGTGTTATAAATAATAATAATATGTCAATTAGATTATTAATTCCACTATATTATGAATATATTTATTCCATTATAGTAGATGAAAAACCAAAACTACATATTGAAACAAATTCAAAAGGTCTTACCCTTAGTACTCTTAGTATTACATCCAATAATGGTAGTTTATTACTTGATTCTTATAATAATATTTATTTATTAATTAATTTTATTAAAAATATATATTTTCCCTAATAGACATTGAAAATGAAATAGCAAAAACTGAAGAATACAATACTGGTTCAATAAGTAATATAATCATATAATTTGGTTTTTTTTTTTTTTACCCTCCCGAAAATAATTTATTTAACTGATTTTGTATATATATATAAATTTTTTTTAAAAAAAGTTTTTGGTCAAGCTTTACCAGGTATTTATTTCTATTATTTTTATTATAATCTATTAAAAAATTTTTAAATTCTATTAATATGTGTTTTTCTTTAGATAAAATTCTGGTACAAATAATATCATTAGATTCTAACGATCAGTTAGTATCAAATACAAAAACAAAAACTTCAGTTCGTCTTGTGATTCATTATGTTAAACATCAAACAAATCCAAGTGAATTAATTGAAGATCATTCACAAAATAAATTTCTTTTTCCTTTTGATTATCACTCTTTAATGTTTGATACTTTGAAAATAGATATTTATGAACATGGGTTTTTAAATGCCAAAAAAAGAATTGGTCGTGGTGTTTTTAAATTAATTGGATTAAAGTCGTCAATTCTTAATAAAGATGAGTTTATTGGGTGGGTTACTTCTATGTACTTTATATATACATACACGCTTCATAAATTTAGATATATATTTATTAACCAATTAAAAATTCAAATATAGTAAAATACCTTTAGAATATAACGGTCTAATATCTTATCAAGTTGTAATTAGGGTAAAATTTCATTATCCAAACGATACTCCTCTCATTCCATCAACTCAAAATACTTCTACACGTTCAAAATCTTTATTTACAACAAATAAAAGTAGCGGTGCCATGACAAAAGTGATTTCTTCCGAAATAGATAATGTTAATGATGCTGAATTTGCTAATATAGTAGTACATCCCGAAGCAAAGCCTTTTGGTATTCTTGATATGGTACTAAGTAAAGAGACTAAAGATGCAATGAAGGAAATAACTGTTTTATATCATACTTTCTTTGGTCATGGTTGGAGATTAAGCAAGTTGGAGTTCTTAAAAGCGTATATGCTATTAGAGAAATATTATACTCAAAAACCTAGGTGAGTTATATATGATTATTGTATTTAAATAAGGAAATGTCAATAATTTTAATATGAGTTTGACTTTATTTTTTTAATTATTTCCTTTTTTAAAAAATTTTAAATTATAAAAGCCCTATTACAGGTAAAATCTTGCAAGATACCGATAAAATCCAGTTAGCTCAAAAATATTTAAAGTATTCTATGGCTTCTTATGTATGTGAATCTTATATAATATATATATGTATCTCATTGATCCTATAAAATTGAAAATTATAATCAATTTAAATTTTTTTATAAGGGTTCATTTTTATTTAATTGGTTTGGATATGGTCGTTGTATGGCTCCATTAAGTATGTTATTTTTATTTTTTAAAAAACTGAATGAAAATTCGAATGGATGTTATTGATATATATATGTGTGTGCGCTATAGACGCTTTTAGATTAAATTCAAATCAAAAGGCTGTTCAGGAATTTTTTGGCCTTGATAAAGATGACATCATTTGTTGGGAATATGATCAAATTGGTGTTTCTGTTCCTCACTATATGATAATAAGAGATCCGGAGACAAATGATATTATAATAACTATTCGTGGAACAATGGTACGTACATTTAATAAATCACCTGTTTATTTGTTTATTTATTTAAAATACTGTCCAACTTCATCTTCTAATAATAATTTAATCTAAATAATCATTTAGAATATTACAGATGTGATAACAGATGTGATGGCTCATTATGAACCATGGAACGGTGGATTTGTTCACCGAGGTGTACTTCGTAGTGCTCAATATCTTGTCAAAAATTCGCTTAAGAGTATAAAAAGGGCTGTAAAAAAATTTAATTCGCGTGCTATTCAAGTTATAGGACATTCATTAGGTGCTTCTATATCTTCAATGGTAACTCTTTTATTGCATGAGGAGTGTAAGGGTTTACTTGAAAATGGCGTAGAAATTCTTGGGTGGAATTTTGCTAGTGTTCCATGTTGTTCATTAGACTTAGCAAACAAACCCGAAGCAATGAATTACATTAATAATTTTATTAATGAAAATGATGTAATTCCACGATTAAGTTATGGAAATCTTATGGATTTTAAAGAATTAGTTAAGTTTGCTGCAAGTGAATTGAAGAATGAAAATTATAAAAAGGTAAAACATAATATGATATCAATCAAATTTAAATTTATAATTATTATTGTTAATATTATAAATTACATTATTTCAAATCAGCTCAATTCTAAGGAAAAATTATCCAAAATTATTACTTCAATCGACGAATGTCGTACTTCTTTGAAAGCAAAATCTTCCGAACAAAAATTATATATTCCAGGAGCCATTTATTACCTTTATAAGGGCTTTCATGAGACTCATGTTAAATCTTCAATTGCATTCTACACAAAAGATGTTTTATGCGAAGTTTCCACACCAAGTTTATTTACAGACATTATTTTAAGAAGAAATTGGCTGTTCCATCATTTCCCTGATAGATATGATAAAAAATTCCAAGGTGTAATAAAATTTTTGACAAAATTTAATGAAAAGGATAAAGAGACTTTGAAATTTTGGAATAGAAGAAACTGAATACACCACTGATAAAGGTGATAGAATGAAAAAATAGATGTCGCACATCTAGTTAAATTTTTCAATGGTGCTCATTCACATAATTGTAAATTAACAAATTAATTTTATAGATTTTTTTTTTAAATAGAACCAACTTTTGTATTATTATTATTTATTATTGGTTATGAAAAAAAAATGATCATAGAATTAATTTTACACACTATTTTTCATAATTTTGGTTGTTTGCCACGTGTGCAATCCTGAAGTCATCCCATTACTATTACTATTATTACAGAAAAATTAAAAATCATAAAACTTACACGACCAGTTCGCATCGATATTAATTTCATCATAATAATAAGGCAACATATTTTATTCCAATTTGGTTTTTTTGACCCTTTTTCCAAACCCTATGTTTTAATGTCAGTAGAATGATAATTAACCCTAAAAAATACATTTGCCCGCTAAAAAAAGCTATTTTACCATTCAACAGCCCGCCGAACCAATGGGTTTTGCTAAGGTATTCATAATGTTATGATCATACCGTACTAAATTTTGAGGTTCAAACAATTTCAGTGCATGTAGTTTTAATAGTTTGGAATTGTCGCACTCCATTGAATTGAGCTAGAGAATTAAAATCATAGATTTATAAGCGTCAGGATTAAAATGCACCTATTGACAGAATTATGTTAATAAACCTTTTTACGTAGGCTTCCATTATATCTTATATATTTGCAATGTATTATTAATTTTTTAATTCACAATTTATCCAACAATAAAGTTAGATTGGTAATTTATGGTTGAAGGTTAAGGATCTCACCCACTCACTTGTGGCACTTATTCATTAATTCATTCGCTTAAGCTCAAGATCCTGTAAAAGCTTGGACATATCAAATATTTATGTGGCTTATGTGATTTGTAAAACGTAAAAATAAGAGAAGTATTACTTTATTATTGATTTGTCAACTGTATATAAAAGCATTATCAATTGTTCCTGAAATAGTAAAATTAGATCATGGAAAAAGTAATAAATTAGTAAAATATCATTAAACTTGGACAACCACAATGCTTGGCTGTTTCTGCTAAAGGGTATAAATATAAATAATTATCAACAGGTCAATGTAATATATCTATAGTGCACATCACTTAGTCGCTGAACTTTTTGTGCTATAATGCCATTTTTGAGAAAAAAATTTCCAATCAAAAATGCAATAAAATTTTCGCAGTCACATGTTTTTGAAGATCGTCAGTGCAGAATTTTATTAAATTTATTAATTAAAAATACTTGAAATTAAAAATGAATGAAAATAACAATAATGAGAATATTATGCATAAAGAAAATAATTTTGAATCTATCCAATAAAATATGATAGAGTTGTTACGCGATCATCAATTGCTTCTTTTCATCATCATTTATCTTTGATTTCAGTTGGCAATTCAAATAATGAATCACTACTTTTAAAACTATTATCAAACAACTCTATATCATCATTGACATCATCAGAACTTTTGTCAAAATCATCTAATTCTCTATATATATATAATTTAAATTTCATAATATGAGAGAGAGAGAGAGAGAGAGAGAGGTAGGTAGGTAGGTAGGTCGGTTGGTCACGGTTTCAATTCCCATTGGAAAAATTTTCAAAATTCGAAACAATTCCTCTTTATCTATCCAATTCATTCTCTTTGTATATATTTGTTGTTGTAAATATTAACATAACGTTGTTTTTTTGAAAAAATATTAACGTTAATAATTTATTATTAACCAAAAATGGGAATGATAATCTTATTATGTACTTGCGTTTGAAATTTATTGATCGTATGTAATAACTTCACTATGGCGATGGCCCACATTCTTCCAACAATCAAGGTATTGCGAACTGTTATTGACCTTCTTTTATGTACCATCTAAAATTATAATTATAAAGAAAGAGAAGGGTTAGTCATATGACCAAGCAAAAATAATATCTTAATTTTCATCCCTTCTATTCTTTATTCA